TTTAGGGTTTAGGGTTTAGGATCGGGTTGGGAGACCCATAAAAGCTCAAACAAGTACATTGGGTTCTTCAAAATACATATTGAAATATGTGTTTTTTTTTGGGGGGGACCTGTTCCTTAAAGGAACCATTATGAAGGGCAACCTTACGCTGTTTTCTCCCTGGTTACTTCAAGGCAAAGTAAGGGCTAGCCAACAGAATAATCGTAACGACAGTGAGTGGCAGTAATAGCAATGGTAAGAACTTCAGCAAGAACAATGGTAGTCATACCTCGAGAACCATGTCTCGTCTGGAATACAACGAGTTAGGAACTGTTTCGCTGGTTTTCGTGAGAATGAACGCTCAGGACTTGAGTTGCTTCTTATGTTTGTTGTAACAAAGCCCAACGGTTTATTTGGGGTAACACTGCGGTTGTCGGTCCCAGTGCCCAAGGTTTCAGGTTTTACAGCTAGGCTTCAGGATTTCTGGATGTAGGACTCAGGGTGTTCAAGTGCTCATCCTCACACGGACTTTGAGTTCAGAACTGTTGGGACTTTGGGGCTTTGTGGACTTGAGGTTTAGCGGGTGGAGTTGCACACGCGCACACACAGAGTGCTATTTGGGGAAAAGGTCATTCAATATTTATATATATATATATATATGCTTAAATGCTTAGTGCAATATAAGTGAGATGAAGCAGTGAGGGTTGGAATGATTACAGGGACATGGTACGAATATATATATATATATATATATATACATGTGTCATCTACATATGCAAAACGGCAGAAGCGGGGTTTCAATTGGGAGACCGAAGCCGGATCCAGACAAGAAGCTCACAGAAATGACGGTAAACCCTCTGGCCCCTCAGCTGGGTTTAGGATTGCTGGGTTAAACCCCTAAACTCTCGACCCTAAGCTCTAAACCTTAAACTCTAAACCTTAACCCAAAACCCGAAAGCCTGTAGCAGGCAGGGCCTTGCGTTCGGGTCGTGCTCGGTTCTGTAGACTGGACATGACCTGGGGTGTAGGTTGAGATTTGGGGGTTTCAGGGTTCAGGATTGATGTGGAATTTGGGGTTTGAGCCTAGTTTAGTTGTGCCAGATCCTAGACTGCTGGACGGGTTCAGAAAATGAGGGACCCTAGCATAAGCCTTTGATCCCTAAACCCTAAACCCTAAACCCTAAACCGTACCAAGGACCCCAAACACCCTGTGAAGCCCTGAAATCCAAAGCTCTCAGCCCCTAAGCCCTATAGACGTTCTGAACCATGAAGCCCTGCTTGACTGAACCAATATTATTCCCAGGGGCTCCTTCTTCTGATTCTTATAGGACCCCTATTCTAATTGTGGTAACCTTTTTCGTAAGCGTCTGTAGTAACCCTGTTGAAAACCCTCCGAGCACAGCCCCTTAAGGAACCCTTGAACGGAAACCTATCCTTACCCTAAACCCTACACCCTGCACCCTACACCCTACACCCTACACCCTAAACCCTAAACCCTAAACCCTATCCTTCCTTTTGACTGGGGGCTGGAAGGTGGGCCCAGCTCGCCGAGACTGGCGCCAAGCCTCCGCCCGACGTAACGAAGGGGAACCTGCCCTGGGGCTCAGTTTGGGCGGTGGGTTTAGGGTTTAGGGTTTAGGGTTCAGGGTTTAGGGTTTAGGGTTTAGGTCGGGTAGGGGGGGTGGGGGTGATGGCGGAGGTATAGTTCAGCGTTTGGGGTTCAGGATCCAGGTTTTGGGTTCAGAGTCTTGTTTCATGGGGGTTTTAGCTGCTTCAGAGCAGACTCTTGACGTTAAGAAGCCTCTAGAATCGAAGTGACCCGAAACCTTGACCCCGCAAAAACTGCAACCCTACATTCTACTAGCATTTCCCCACCGCTCCCAGGCTATACCCTAAGCCCCTATAACCGGAAATGGTCAAAATCTAAAGGCGCGGAGGCTGTAGGGTTTCAGGTTTTAGTGTTTGAGATGTGAGATTTGGGGAATTACTACTGTCGTTTGGTTCAGAGTCCGGGGTTTTGAGCTTTAGGACCTTCGTTGATTCTGCCGGCCGGTAGTGACTGTCCTTGTATCCTTGTGGGGTTTCGGGTTCAGGATTTTTGGTCGTAACACTCATCGCGAAAAGTGTTCCTAAAAAGGGGGGGGGACCTAATGTAGAGAACTACCCGCTTGGATAAACCCAAAACCTTACACCCTAAACCCTAAACCCGAAACCCTAAACTCAAAACCCTAAACCCAAGACCCTAAAAGGTTAGCTTGGGTGGAGCTTGCTCGACACCTGGCAGAGTCCTGGGTCGTAATATAGGGGGCCTAAGAAATTACCATTGCTATTTTTCGGGGCTACTTATTATAGGTATCGTATAAAGGGCCCCCAAACTCGATTCTAATTATTAAGGCCGCCTGAGCTTTTTGTCTGATGAGATCCGGACTAGGAGCGCTGATGTTCACACTGGCCCGGTGGCGCCTGATTCGTGCCCTACTTGGAGGTTCATGGGTAGTTATAAATGGGGTTATAAGTCCCCTAATATGGGTTATAACTATAGTTACCCTACTTATAACCCCACTTATAACTACCCATGAACCTCCAAAGCATGCGTCATCCGGGTAGAGGCGCTATGAAGGGATAGGAAACACAGCCTGGAACAGCCTTGCAGCCTCCAAGGTTCGAGTGGGTTTGTTCAAAGCCTCAAAGCCCCAAACTCCCGTAACTCTACAGCTCTAAAGCCCCAAACCCAAAAGCCTCAAAGTCCTAAACCCTTCAAGCCTTTGGGATAAACCCTAAACCCAAGACCCAAAACCCAAAACCCTAAACCCTAAACCCTAAAAGCACTACTAAGCTAGACTGTGGTTTGGAGAGACTCCGAGGCGCCTGCAGGGCAGCTTCTCCGGAAAGGCGACCACCCACAGCCACCAGCCCAAGCCTCATTCGGGTTTAGGGTGCTTTAGGGCTTTAGGGGTTCAGGCAATAATACTTATATAATAGTTTTAACAGAATATAATAGAAGCTCAAGCCTCATTCGGGTTTAGGGCTTATAGGGGTTTAGGGTTTAGGGGTTTTGGTTTGGGGGTTTAGGGTTTAGGAGTTTTGGTTTGGGGGTTTAGGGTTTAGGGGTTCCGGTTTGGGGGTTTAGGGTTTAGGGGTGTAGGGTTTAGGGGTTTCGGTTTGGGGGGTTTAGGGTTTAGGGGTTTCGGTCTAGGGGTTCAGGGTTTAGGCGTGTAGGGTTTAGGAGGTTCGGTTTAGGAACTAGGGTTTAGGGGTTTCTGTTTAGGGGGTTTAGGGCTTTTGGAATTTGTGGTGTCCCCTTCTTCACAGGTCTTTGAAGGGCGCCTTCAAGGGGTCCTAAAACGGGTTTCTTCAAAAGGATCTTAACGGTTCCCTAAGGCGTTCCTTGAAAGGGTTGTGTAAGGGTTCTAGACCGATTCCATAAACGGGGTTCTATGAAGGGTTTTAGGGTTTGGTCTGATAAAGAGGGTTGTGTATGGGTTCTACAAGGGTTCTATACAAGGGTTTCTACAAGGTCCTACAGGGTGCCAGAAAGGCGTTCTACAAGGGGTCCTCAGGTCATACAAAGCTTCTGTAAGGTTCTATAATGGGTTCCACAAGCGAGGTTTTTAAAGGGTTGACAGGGGTTCTAGACTGTAGAAATTGCGTACGGGTTCCAATTATATTCGTGTGCATAAGAGTTCTATGTGTCAAGGGGTTTTGGGATTTAGGGTTTAGGGCAGTTAGATTGCGGAAGGTGTGCAACAGAAGACCCAGGTACATATACATAGGCATATACATGGACAGACCAAACTCATCGAAGGCATGAGACCCCATACAACCTACCTTTCTAAGGAGTTATGTACAGAAATCAAAATGAGGAGCCCTATAGGAAGGAAGGTTTTAGAAGGTCAAGGTAACCCTTAAACCTGAACCTTAAGCCCTAATCTCCACACCCTATCGTCTAAAGCCCCCATCTACAGAAAGCCGAGGATGAATCCTAAGCCCAAACCCAAACCCTTATAGGAGTCCTTTAAAGGAACCCTGACCCAAACCCTACAATCCTAAGCCCAAGCCCCCTTAAAGGAACCCTTCTAGGAACCCGCGTAACAGGACCCCCCAAGCCCTGGAACGCCCCTACTCGGAGGTTCATTTTTAGTTATATATAAGTGAGCTTATAAGTCCCCTAACATGGGTTATAACTACAGTTATTCTACTTATAACCCCACTTATAGCTACCCATGAACCTCCAAGTACCGAAAGAAAGCCCGAGGATGGACGTGAACATCGGAGTGGACTTCGAAATGCCCAGTAAGGCCGATCCGAAGCTCAGCATAGGGGTTTAGGGGACATTTTCTTGGGGTTTGGGGTTTAGGATTCGGGATTGGGGTTTAGGATTCGGGATTGGAGTTTAGGATCTGGGATTGGGGTTTGGGGTTTAAGGTTCAGGATTCTGGGTTCAGGGCGTAATCAAGAGGTCAGAATACCGAGTTACAGTCTTCCAGATGCCCCTCCCCATATCGCGAAAAAATCAACCGTGAAGCTCTGGGATTTTTTTGGTGGGTTGCACAAGGGTTCTATCGGGATTTATGATTCAAGGTTTGAGGTTGTGTTGGCGGTTTACAAGCTTTTGCAGGGTTGCCACTTAAAACCTGGATGCCCTACCGAACCGGGCCAGGATGGAGAGTATGGGGCATTCGGTCGGTCGGGTTTTGGGGTTTGGGCCCTTGGTTTTGAAGAGCATCCACGGGTCTTGTTACTCGGGTTGTGGGTTTAGGGCTTTAGGGCTTTAGGGCTTTAGGGGTTGGGGTTTGGGGCTTTAGGGCTTTAGGGCTTTAGGGCTACAGGGCTTGAGGGTTTGGGGCTTTCGGGTCGTTTGCTCCTGAGCGCAGGTGGCTGCGAAGACCATGAAGCAGCTCTCGGATTCGGGCCTGCTCCTCAGAGTTGCTTGATAGGGCTTCTTGTTGAATAAGGGGTGCTCTGACGATGTTGAGCAATGTTTCTTAAGTTGTTCGGTAGGGTAGCTCGACCGTAGGGATTAGAGCTTAGGGCTTAGTATAGAAGCTTGAACAAAATGAGCACCCAAGGCTTTGTTCGCGGTGCTAATCTTCAATGTACCTTTTTCCCCGATAGCAAATACGAATGCCTCTGTTAAAGATCTGGAGTTTTGATCTTTCCGTCTCAGCGCCCAGAGACCTAACAGGTGTTGAACCTCAGGGTTTGAGGACTGGGGTTTCGGGGTTCGGGCTTGTGGACTTTGGGGGTTTAGGGGTTCGATCCTCAGGACGAGGTTCGTAGGGCTTGCAGTTACTGGATGTTGAAAGGGCTTAAGCTGAAGCCGAAGCCTCTACTTCTCCAACCCACAAAAGCACATACAACCCAAAACCCAGTGTAATTATGGTATTCGTATACGATACCATACTATACACCAAAAGCACTTTCTGAGATGTTTCCGCCTCTGCAGCGTTGGGAAGGACCAGTCCCCAGCGTGTTTTGGGGCAGCTGTGGGCCAAAACCTTATAAGAAACCGTTTCTGAATCCTATAATAAGAATTGCACACCTATAAAGCTTGAAAACTTCCCCGAAACACCCAAACCGCTTTTTTCGATGATGTCCTCCTGAAAGATAGCCACCCCCAAACCCCTAAACCCCCAAATCCCGAACCCCCAAATCCCGAACCCCCAAATCCTAAGCCCCCAAATCCTAAACCCCCCAGTTCGATGGTTTGAAACCCCAGGCATCACCTATAAAACTTAAAACCCTAAACCCTAAACCCTAAACCCTAAACCCTGTAGCCACCAGGCATCACCCTGCCAGAAGAGGCCGAAGAGGCGCCTCGGCACTCTTTGAACGGCTTTCGGAGGTTCCCTCCTTCGGGGTTTAAACGGTTTTTGTATTTAGGGTATAGGGGTTTAAGGGTTTAGGGCTTAAGGGTTTTGGGGTTTAAGTATTTAAGGTTTGAGTATTTAGGGTATAGGGTTTGAGGGTTTAGGGCTTGAGGGTTTTAAGGGCTTTTTTGGGGTTTAAGGGTTTAAGGGTTGTAGGTCTAGAGGTTGAGCGGTTTTTGGTGTTTAAGGCTTTGGGGTGTAAGGTAAGGAGCCCTAGGGTTCTAGAGAGGTTGGGGTCAGGTCTTACAGGTTTAGGGCTTAGGGTTTAGGGTTTAGGGTTTAGGGTAGTCTTGTGTGTCCTGTTCGGCAAAGTCGACAGGATAAGCACCGCACAAGTTACGTCTGCTTCTCAGGCGGGCTTCTTTTACACATTTTACATGAGGGCGTAGGTTTTCCATGGGTTTGGAAGTGGTTCCTGACAAAATGTACACCCATGAGTGGTATCCTAAGTGCCCTACACCCTACACCCCTAAACCCTACTTGCCCAGGCTGCTCATTCGAATTCAGCGGTATCGCCTGCAGAAGCTAGCTTCCGAACTTGTGGGTTCAGGTGAAAGCTCAGGGTGTCAGTTTTTCAGCTTTTGCTGTTCGGGGTGTAAGGAGTTCATAATTGAGATTTATCCCGACTCCTTCAGCTTGAAACGCTACAGCCCAAACCGTCTTGGCTTCACAAAGGTTGAAAACGGCTCAGTGCCAGATTTGGGGTGGGTAGTGGTGGATTAGTAGTTTTGCTCGGGATCTGCACGTTTGTGCTTGGGGCTGCATTTTGTGCACCATCCCAAAATCTCATGATCGACCCTAACCCTTCCAGAACCCTTATGGGAACCCGGAGTTCTTATAGGAACCACTATGGCACTATGGGATCCCCTCCTGATTTGGGTCGGCAGGTTACTATAGGGGCCTAAAATCATTAACTCTTAAACTGTTTTTGGGGCTCCTTGTTGTAATTGTAGCATAATGTACCCCAAAACCCCATTCTAACTATTAAGGCCCCTACATTAAGCATAGTATAAATGTACCCCAAAACCCCATTCTAACTATTAAGGCCCCTACACTAAGCATAGTATAAATGTACACCAAAACCCCATTCTAACTATTAAGGCCCCTACCACTTTCGCAGTGATGGCTCTCCCAGACGAAGCGCAAAAAGACTTGGACCGGACCCAAACCCCTCAGCCATCCCTCTTTCGTTTTTGGGGTCAGGGCTGAGGGTTTAGGGTTTAGGGTTCAGGGCTGAGGGTTCATGGTTCAGCATTTGGGGTGAAGCCCCAAACATGCGATCGTTAAGCGACGTGGGGGGAGCATCTGTCCCGACAAGAAGCCCCCGCCCTGAAGGACCCCAGAATCACCATGTCACCACTACCTTTTTGGGGGCCCCTTCTTACAACCACGGTACGATACACCACGCGCCTCCCCTCAAAAACACAATTGAAGTATTCAGGCCCTTCCTTCATGGAAATCCCTTCAAAGGGAGCCCTTCAAGAATAAAGGAGCCCTCTTCGAATTCCTTTTGGCCCCTATAAGTTACCCTCTATTTCCCAGATGCATTTTGCCTCGTTGAGGCCCCGATAGTTTCACCCTTACAGCGTCCCGGCAAAACGGCCAAATTGTTTACCCTCTTCAAAGTCTTAGGGCACCCTAAGCCCTAAGACCAAACCCTAAACCCTAAACCCTCAGCCCGAAACCCTAACCTACACTTTTCTCCGGGTGTTGCTCCAGGCCTTAGCTCAGCCCCGCCGCTCGCTCTTCGGCCGCCTGGTGAAGAATTGAAGTGGATGGTTCTCTTAAGTAGGGCCCCGTTTGTAGGGTTTTACGGTTTCAGGATTTTGGGGTTTAGGGTTTAGGGGAACAGGGGAACAGGGTTTGGGGTTGCATGATTATGGTAGATTCATATAGGTAGTTCTCTAAATAAGGGTCCTTTTTAGGTCCCGAAAATAGTACGGCACCCTTATAGACGGGATCTGAAATGAGGCTTGAGTGTAGTGAACTACTCAAATGGCACGCGCTTAAAGCTGAACTTCATGGCTTGGGGGGTCAGTGAACTTGGAGGCTTTCGCGGTGTTTAGAGGTGTAAGGCTCAAGTCTTGGGGTGTGTAGACCTTGCCATGTGGGAGGAACCGGGGCATGGGACATCAGATTCATCAGGGTTTAGTAGGTACTGAGGACGTTCGAATTTCAGCGTCGATATATTTTTACCTGCTCATGCAGGCTCCTCTTAAACGGCAAAGTCACCCTGAACCCTGAACCCAAAGTTGCTCTGTGTGTGGGGTGAAAACCCTAAACCCTAAACTCCCAGGGCTATGGGTTTAAAGTTCAGTCGACGGTCCCGGGCCCTTTTTTTGTGAGGCTTGGGACTCCTTGGGGCTGTTGTCCAAGCACAGGTTTAGGGTTTAGGG